GAAGGAGCTGAAATTGAGTTTGCGTGGCTTCTCTTGAAAACAACTCAATAGCTCGGAAATAAGAGTTCTCCTTAGTGTTTTGATACACCAGTATTGATTGTCTTCATTGTTTTGTCAAAGCTAATACAGTGAATAAACACATCAAATACACCCTCATGATATCCTTGCTTTCAGAAAACTACAGAAACAAGTACAAGCTTTAGTAAAGAAAGAAATGGTTATTCATTACTTCAGTAGCATAAATGACTACTGACTTTGATTTTTAAAAGAAAGTTCTTGTATCTGGAAAAATCTTAAGAGAGAGGACAAAAAACATGCTAAAAGTTTTTTAGAATGTACTTACATATCACTGGCAATAGAGGAGTTCCTGGACATGGACTTTGGAGAAAGGTCATAGTCACTATCTGACCGGTAAAGGAAAGATTCCCTACGTTGACTGTGGACAAAATTTGCCTGAAGAATCAGCCCTGATCCAGGGCTTGTCATGGGGTCCAAGGGACTTCGTCCCGATGACGTACCATTGTCCACATCAAAACTACAAAAAGAAAGGAGAAAAATATTAATGCCATTGACAAAGAATTTTGGAAGTAATAAAAGCTTTTCTGGTAATTGCTTCTTGGTAGAAAATAAAGACCTTGTCAAGTCCACCAAGACAAAAAACAAGGCACAAAAGCAATGGACTTTAAAATTGCTGAAAATCAAAAGGAGTAAGTGTGAAAGAAAAGAAATATAGCAGGGAAAGATAACACTGTTAGGAATACAGGAAGTCTCATGTGTCTCTGCATGTACAGCTCCAAAGTTGAGTAAACATGAGATCTGTATCTGAGCTCTATGCCTGAGGAAACATCATGTTTCATTGTTTTCTGCCTCAGGCCCCATCTCTCCTGAGCTGGACCATTGTTATCCTGTTGAGGCAGTAGAGGGTCTTTTTATTATTGAGTACCCAACCCTAATATTTCATTACTACCCGAATATTTCAAAAACACATTTTGTCTTACTCCAGTAAGCTCTGGGTTGAAATCTCCACATGATTTTTAAAAACATGGATAAGCGTTCGCATCATAACATGTATTTGTAATGCAGACATCTCAAGTACTCATTTTGGAAACTGTTCATGTGAGGGACATGAATAGCTTTCAATTACATCTGATGAAAGCAGAAGAGAAAACATTCAGTATGTGTCAGCTGTTGATTAGGCTTCAGCAGGCCACAAATGTCACAGCAAGTGCACCTTACTCTCTGCACTACCTTGCTTCTTAATGTTATCTACCATCCATCTGAGGTTGCAATGAGATTGCTGCTTTAATGTTTTCCTGGAGTGACAGCATTTCCATGGTCTGCTTTTCTTTGTTAAATGAACTAATCAGAGAAACATATATTGCCTGTTTTGACAGAGATGCACATTACCTGGCAGAAAATAGATCTTGACTTCATGTTTTCTTTCATTGTTTTATTGTTAATTTGGACATTGCTGGGACTGCAAGCCTTCTGCTGCTCTCAGACCAGATTATTTATTTATTTATTTATCTCTCACCATCTGAATGTAGACAAATAAGCTGATGTTTTTTTTAGAAAAACCGTTCAAAAAATCTTATTAAACAAGCTTTAAGCTTAGCAATTTAATCCTCTTTTCACTGTAGTTTTCAGAACAATTAACTTCCCAAATTTAATTTCTTTTTATTATGCCTGAACACTTTTTCTGAGCCCTCAAATGTGCTACTACTACATGATGTTATCCACCTCAAACTAACAAGGCTTAATAAGTAACACATCAAATAAGAGTTCTGGCACAAGCTTGCTGGGTCATCTTGGACAATGCAAAGCTTCTCTTTACATTTCATTTTCTCTGTTCATCCCATCTTTGTGATCACTGTGAGCTCTGCTTACAAAAGTTACTGAAAAAAAAGATTGGGAAGGACAAGATAGCATAAATAGTACAATGAAACACCCTTTGCAGCTTATAGAGCCATAAGTTAGTAATCACATTGCCATTACTACTAGCATGAAAGCTATTATTCACTAGCAGTCAATATCTTTTGCATTTGAATTCCTGTGTATTCCGGGAGCACAAAATACTCACAATGCCAATGAAGTGTTTGAAACATCTGTGAACTCACCATATCCAGATTTCCTAACACTTATATTTAATTGCCTAAATAAAATAATGTTTTTCTTTAAACAGCCACAAGAACACACAAACTCCTGTACAATACACCATCTGTATGTTTTGGTTTTCTGTTGAGGTTAGCAGGGCACATCTTTAATGCAATTTTAGGTAAAATAGAAGTGGATTTTTTACTCCTGTGCTCTATTAGACTAACTTTTGCAATGGCAGTATAATGTCAAATTCATATAACCTTGTTTGAAAGCTCTAAAGCAAAAGTTGAAAGTGGGATAAAAATAAATGAAGGTAAATTCATGTGTGTCTCCCAGAAGGAAATTTTGAATAAGGACTAACTATTAATTGATTTCTTTAGCAGTGGACTTAATTATTCAGCTGATTAAAAAGTATTTTATTGGATTAAAGGAAGTTATTGGATTTTAAGCAGGTTTTTTTTTATTTCCTTCACCCACCTTTTGTGGACATTATATGAATATTTTATTGCCAGTCTTATTTCTCCCAGTCAGAAACTAAGGCAGGCTTCTATAAATTATTTCACTGTCAGATTATAAAATAATATATATTATATTCTTATTAATTTAAAAGACTACTAGATAAAATTGTAGTTTCATCAGCTGGGAGAGGCCCTGTGGTTTGCACCAACAGGTAACTACAACTATACTATGTGCAAGACTTGCACATGGCTGCTGTGACAGGAATTTTATCCTGTGATTCTGTGTTGTGCCCACTAGATGGGTGTCAAAAGCAATGAACGGGATCCAATATACCAGCTGGGACTTGGATGATACTGCTCAAAGAACATGTCTTTTATGTAAATATGCATAAAGAAAAAAAAAGGTTCAGTTCTGCAGACAAAGGGGAATGCGAGTACAGCATTGGCTTGCAGAAACATGTTTATACAAAGAAGTTTCTAAAATGCTACAGCAGTTAAGTGTCTTGTTTAGGTCTTACTGAGGCAATTGCTAAAATTTTAAAAATAAAATTAATCGTTTATTTGGCGAATCACAAGTCTTATTTGCAAGAAATGGCGCTGGTGATCACAATACATCAAATGAACAGAGAATCAGAATGGGGAATTGAAGACTTTCACACAAGTTGTTCTCTCTTGCTGCATACACTGAAAAAAAAAAATAAAAGTTTAAGATACACAATGGGATAGACTCTTTAATTTGCCTGGGCAAAAATTGCAGAAAGTCAGCTGTGGTTGCTTCATATTTATCTTTCCACTCCTGTTAAGTTTTAAGCCACAGCAAGAATCTGCCCTGAATTAAAAAGTTCTTGTTCAGTGACAAACCAAAATTATTCTGTCCCTGGAATGTTACTCAGCATGCTTATACTTTTAGTGGTGGGTGGTCTTCGGAAAGGAAGAAGCAGCATGGAAGTTGTTACTTAAGGCACAGGAACTGCTTTGCTATTGTTTCACAGTTCGAGACACAATTTTCCACCATTGTTCTGCAGTCAGCTTCGGGTGCTTTGCACAATGCATGCAAACTCCAGCTGCTTTTAGTGATGGGAGCACTTGGCACAGCACTCATCGTAGAACTGTCTATGTTCAAAAAGCTTTGCTGCAACTCCAGAGAGGCCAAAGCTATGAAAAGGCAGTGCTAATTCAGCAACTTTTGTGTCTGCATATTCACAAAATGTTTTATGACATTAGTGGATACTGTTTATCCTTAGAGCCTGCCTTATTCGGTGTTCAGTGATGACAAACATGGTGAGATTGAAATGCAGCCTTTTTTCCTTTTTTGGCTATTCATTGTGTTTGCATGTGTTGCCCACCATGTATCATCCAGGCTCTGTAGTGAGAAAGAAACTTGTAAACTTTAATGGTTGATATTCCCTGTCCTCCTAATAGAGCAAGAAATAATATCATCACAAGCAACCCTTAGGAAGATTATTAATGATTTGCTCCAGGCACCAGCAGGAACTCATTATGAAAACCATTTTTGTTTATTGTACATACTGACTTTTTTTTTTTTTTAAAGAGGATATCGATTTGGTCTTGCCTCATTAAAAACAGTGTTGATATTAATGCTGGATTTTTAATGCTTTAGATTTTTCTGGTCACTAAAGGACACTTACAAGCCTAATTCTTTCTGTTAGTGATTTATAATTGAGCCATGTACACCTAGTTGGCTGTGGAATTTGGAGCAGATAAGGTAAAAAACAACAACAACAAATACTATTCTTATTTTCTGCTACTTAGAAATGACTAAAGCTGGGACATTTAACTGGTTTAGTGTCTTACTATTGAACAGACACTGGCATCTGCCTTCCACTACCTGTAAAACCTGGGGTCTACAAATACTTGAAAAGTATGATCCACTAGCAGAAAATACAAACATCACAGAATATAAAGAGGATAGAATAACTTTCCAAAGGCCTTTTGTTAAAATTCCGCCATTTAGTTAAAGGAATATTTGAAATAATTTTTACCTCTTTGAGTTAACTTATTTCTGCCAGCAGGTATATCTTTTCTCTAAGAACCTAAAAAAAACCTGGTGCAAATAAATGCAGTCTTTTTCTTGAGAACATGAAGGAGCTGAAATTGAGTTTGCGTGGCTTCTCTTGAAAACAACTCAATAGCTCGGAAATAAGAGTTCTCCTTAGTGTTTTGATACACCAGTATTGATTGTCTTCATTGTTTTGTCAAAGCTAATACAGTGAATAAACACATCAAATACACCCTCATGATATCCTTGCTTTCAGAAAACTACAGAAACAAGTACAAGCTTTAGTAAAGAAAGAAATGGTTATTCATTACTTCAGTAGCATAAATGACTACTGACTTTGATTTTTAAAAGAAAGTTCTTGTATCTGGAAAAATCTTAAGAGAGAGGACAAAAAACATGCTAAAAGTTTTTTAGAATGTACTTACATATCACTGGCAATAGAGGAGTTCCTGGACATGGACTTTGGAGAAAGGTCATAGTCACTATCTGACCGGTAAAGGAAAGATTCCCTACGTTGACTGTGGACAAAATTTGCCTGAAGAATCAGCCCTGATCCAGGGCTTGTCATGGGGTCCAAGGGACTTCGTCCCGATGACGTACCATTGTCCACATCAAAACTACAAAAAGAAAGGAGAAAAATATTAATGCCATTGACAAAGAATTTTGGAAGTAATAAAAGCTTTTCTGGTAATTGCTTCTTGGTAGAAAATAAAGACCTTGTCAAGTCCACCAAGACAAAAAACAAGGCACAAAAGCAATGGACTTTAAAATTGCTGAAAATCAAAAGGAGTAAGTGTGAAAGAAAAGAAATATAGCAGGGAAAGATAACACTGTTAGGAATACAGGAAGTCTCATGTGTCTCTGCATGTACAGCTCCAAAGTTGAGTAAACATGAGATCTGTATCTGAGCTCTATGCCTGAGGAAACATCATGTTTCATTGTTTTCTGCCTCAGGCCCCATCTCTCCTGAGCTGGACCATTGTTATCCTGTTGAGGCAGTAGAGGGTCTTTTTATTATTGAGTACCCAACCCTAATATTTCATTACTACCCGAATATTTCAAAAACACATTTTGTCTTACTCCAGTAAGCTCTGGGTTGAAATCTCCACATGATTTTTAAAAACATGGATAAGCGTTCGCATCATAACATGTATTTGTAATGCAGACATCTCAAGTACTCATTTTGGAAACTGTTCATGTGAGGGACATGAATAGCTTTCAATTACATCTGATGAAAGCAGAAGAGAAAACATTCAGTATGTGTCAGCTGTTGATTAGGCTTCAGCAGGCCACAAATGTCACAGCAAGTGCACCTTACTCTCTGCACTACCTTGCTTCTTAATGTTATCTACCATCCATCTGAGGTTGCAATGAGATTGCTGCTTTAATGTTTTCCTGGAGTGACAGCATTTCCATGGTCTGCTTTTCTTTGTTAAATGAACTAATCAGAGAAACATATATTGCCTGTTTTGACAGAGATGCACATTACCTGGCAGAAAATAGATCTTGACTTCATGTTTTCTTTCATTGTTTTATTGTTAATTTGGACATTGCTGGGACTGCAAGCCTTCTGCTGCTCTCAGACCAGATTATTTATTTATTTATTTATCTCTCACCATCTGAATGTAGACAAATAAGCTGATGTTTTTTTTAGAAAAACCGTTCAAAAAATCTTATTAAACAAGCTTTAAGCTTAGCAATTTAATCCTCTTTTCACTGTAGTTTTCAGAACAATTAACTTCCCAAATTTAATTTCTTTTTATTATGCCTGAACACTTTTTCTGAGCCCTCAAATGTGCTACTACTACATGATGTTATCCACCTCAAACTAACAAGGCTTAATAAGTAACACATCAAATAAGAGTTCTGGCACAAGCTTGCTGGGTCATCTTGGACAATGCAAAGCTTCTCTTTACATTTCATTTTCTCTGTTCATCCCATCTTTGTGATCACTGTGAGCTCTGCTTACAAAAGTTACTGAAAAAAAAGATTGGGAAGGACAAGATAGCATAAATAGTACAATGAAACACCCTTTGCAGCTTATAGAGCCATAAGTTAGTAATCACATTGCCATTACTACTAGCATGAAAGCTATTATTCACTAGCAGTCAATATCTTTTGCATTTGAATTCCTGTGTATTCCGGGAGCACAAAATACTCACAATGCCAATGAAGTGTTTGAAACATCTGTGAACTCACCATATCCAGATTTCCTAACACTTATATTTAATTGCCTAAATAAAATAATGTTTTTCTTTAAACAGCCACAAGAACACACAAACTCCTGTACAATACACCATCTGTATGTTTTGGTTTTCTGTTGAGGTTAGCAGGGCACATCTTTAATGCAATTTTAGGTAAAATAGAAGTGGATTTTTTACTCCTGTGCTCTATTAGACTAACTTTTGCAATGGCAGTATAATGTCAAATTCATATAACCTTGTTTGAAAGCTCTAAAGCAAAAGTTGAAAGTGGGATAAAAATAAATGAAGGTAAATTCATGTGTGTCTCCCAGAAGGAAATTTTGAATAAGGACTAACTATTAATTGATTTCTTTAGCAGTGGACTTAATTATTCAGCTGATTAAAAAGTATTTTATTGGATTAAAGGAAGTTATTGGATTTTAAGCAGGTTTTTTTTTATTTCCTTCACCCACCTTTTGTGGACATTATATGAATATTTTATTGCCAGTCTTATTTCTCCCAGTCAGAAACTAAGGCAGGCTTCTATAAATTATTTCACTGTCAGATTATAAAATAATATATATTATATTCTTATTAATTTAAAAGACTACTAGATAAAATTGTAGTTTCATCAGCTGGGAGAGGCCCTGTGGTTTGCACCAACAGGTAACTACAACTATACTATGTGCAAGACTTGCACATGGCTGCTGTGACAGGAATTTTATCCTGTGATTCTGTGTTGTGCCCACTAGATGGGTGTCAAAAGCAATGAACGGGATCCAATATACCAGCTGGGACTTGGATGATACTGCTCAAAGAACATGTCTTTTATGTAAATATGCATAAAGAAAAAAAAAGGTTCAGTTCTGCAGACAAAGGGGAATGCGAGTACAGCATTGGCTTGCAGAAACATGTTTATACAAAGAAGTTTCTAAAATGCTACAGCAGTTAAGTGTCTTGTTTAGGTCTTACTGAGGCAATTGCTAAAATTTTAAAAATAAAATTAATCGTTTATTTGGCGAATCACAAGTCTTATTTGCAAGAAATGGCGCTGGTGATCACAATACATCAAATGAACAGAGAATCAGAATGGGGAATTGAAGACTTTCACACAAGTTGTTCTCTCTTGCTGCATACACTGAAAAAAAAAAATAAAAGTTTAAGATACACAATGGGATAGACTCTTTAATTTGCCTGGGCAAAAATTGCAGAAAGTCAGCTGTGGTTGCTTCATATTTATCTTTCCACTCCTGTTAAGTTTTAAGCCACAGCAAGAATCTGCCCTGAATTAAAAAGTTCTTGTTCAGTGACAAACCAAAATTATTCTGTCCCTGGAATGTTACTCAGCATGCTTATACTTTTAGTGGTGGGTGGTCTTCGGAAAGGAAGAAGCAGCATGGAAGTTGTTACTTAAGGCACAGGAACTGCTTTGCTATTGTTTCACAGTTCGAGACACAATTTTCCACCATTGTTCTGCAGTCAGCTTCGGGTGCTTTGCACAATGCATGCAAACTCCAGCTGCTTTTAGTGATGGGAGCACTTGGCACAGCACTCATCGTAGAACTGTCTATGTTCAAAAAGCTTTGCTGCAACTCCAGAGAGGCCAAAGCTATGAAAAGGCAGTGCTAATTCAGCAACTTTTGTGTCTGCATATTCACAAAATGTTTTATGACATTAGTGGATACTGTTTATCCTTAGAGCCTGCCTTATTCGGTGTTCAGTGATGACAAACATGGTGAGATTGAAATGCAGCCTTTTTTCCTTTTTTGGCTATTCATTGTGTTTGCATGTGTTGCCCACCATGTATCATCCAGGCTCTGTAGTGAGAAAGAAACTTGTAAACTTTAATGGTTGATATTCCCTGTCCTCCTAATAGAGCAAGAAATAATATCATCACAAGCAACCCTTAGAAAAAAAGGCAAGGAGAGGAAAGGTCTGGATCGTGCATCTCAGCAGCACTGCTTCACTGTCAGTGACTGCACAGATTCTTTGACTGGGAAAGAAACCCTCCATGGACTTCCTTTTGAGTCCTTAAATAACATTCTCCTACTCTCTGCAAGGCTGCTAAAGGAAAAAAAGGGGAAGATCTGGGTATGCAATACAGCTTTTAGATCCATAAAGAATAATGGCATAATAATGAATATATACAAGAGCTTGTAATTAAGGCTGCATAAAATATGCTGGTCCTCCTTATTACTGATTTGAGCAATTTAATCCTGTAGCTTTTTGTTGGGGATTTTTGTTTTGGGCTTGGGGTTTGTTTTTTTTTCTTGTTTGGAGTTTTGTGGTTTTTTTGTAGAGAATTAAGCAATAGAAGAAGGAAGGAAATAAATACCACCCCAAAATGATTAATTTATTACACTTTAAGAATACAAGTTGCACTCCTGATATGCTCTTTTAAGTCTGTCTCCACATTCAGTCTATCCTATCTTGGGATCTATGGGGAGGGAGAGACTTCAGAGTCAAATTAGCTGATCCACTAGGGACACCTTATTTTTTAAGACCATCTTTAAATATTACAGAGGGACAAGCATGTTCTAGAGGAGGAAATTTTGCCAGAGGAGTCCCTTATCCTAGTGTCAATATGTTCAGCTACCTGTCTGTGCTAAGACCTACCTTCGTATCTCAACATCCTTACTTTCAACAAGTCACATCTGTATTTCCATCTGAAAACAAAATCCCACCAACACACTGAATGGGTGCATTTGGCATATCATCTGTAATTCACTGTAATAGTCACAGAAGAGCTGCCCTGTGGCAGCAGGGTCTTATTTAGAGGAAAAGCAAGGTAATAAAACTTCATTTATATTAAAAGGAGAAGGCAAGCTATTTGTCACTTGTGCCTCAGAGCACGAGCTCACGTCTGGAGGAGGCAGCCTGTAGATACCTGGGAAAGGGGAGAACTGGATGGTCCCTTCAAATGCAGAATGTGAATTTGTTACTTGGATTGTTGGGGAAGAAAAAAGCAGTGGGTCACCTCAGCTGGTAAGACCCACTGTGGATGTGGAGGGTTATAGAGAAAGGCCACAGTCTCTCAGATCATTCACTATAGAAGCCCAGTGTAGAAGAAGTCTCATTCCATCAGACGGGATGTGACAGGCATTGTAGTGTGCTTTTAGACCTTGTGTGCAGTAAGCATTGTAGATCCTGAAAAGGTATGCATCTCAGATTAAAGCAGGACAGTCTAAAGTTTCATCCTCAGATGTGATGAATTTAGTTTGCATTAATTATAGGTTATTATAGTAGGACAGTAATATTTATACTGGCATTTTACAAGGAATACCGTATCAACCCTATATTTGAAGAGGATAATTGTTTATATGTAATCTTGTATTTTTATTTTCTCTGTAGCAAAGTTAACAAATGCTTTTGCCTTCTGTTCCTTACAAGTATTTTCAGTGCATTTTAAGCAAATTACATTAAAAAGAACATAT